CTTGGAATCAGCATAGCTTTTGTTTATGAGAAGTTTCCCACTTAAATTCACGTGTGCACTCTATCAGAACCTAAGGTATTAAAAAAATCTAAGGTGTCAACTGTGATGGGACTGACCACATCACAAAGCAGTAAACACTTTTATTTTTCTCTCACAACTTACTGTAAGTGATATACTAGCTGCTACAATATTTATCCCAATTAATAAAATAATTCATCTTGAATTAATGCAGGAAAACTAAGGTCTTGAAGTATAGCTGTCAAGCTTTATAGGAAAAAAATGGGGATTTATATCAGGAGATATTAAAATGTACATAATACCCTTTGAACATGTAATTCTATTAGAGGAGTTACTAAAGACATACTTCCATAGAAGGACAAACACGAAGCTATCCATGGATAAAGATATTCATTGCCAAACTGTTTATAATTGTCATGAACATTTTAAAACTTACATTGGGACACCTAAGCAAGCAAGCGTGAGTACACTGGTTAGAACAAGGAATATATTTGAAGCTGGAATTGTTTCAGAATCTCTTGAACAGATAATTGTTGTTCATAAGAAAATAAAATAAAAAAGAATCACATGCTCACTATCTTCTGGTAGTCACCAGTGATCTTCGCCCTTTGATATGTATGTCCTTTTGTAGTTTCCTCTCACACTGAATCAGCCAGGCTGGTCTCTGTGACCAAGAGAATACAGTGGTGATGATGCTGTGTGACTTTCAAGGCTAGGTCATAAATGACATTGCAACTTCTGCTTTGGTTTTTTGGAGGCCTTGCTCTGGGGAAGGCCAGCCGCCATGTTGTAAGGATCCTCAAGCAGCTCCGTGGAAAGGCCCATATGGTGAATAACCTGCCATCCAAGGAGGTGAGCCACCTTGAAAGTAGATTCTGCAGGGCTAGTCAAGCCTTTAGATAACAGTAACTTCAGCCAACATCTGACTGCAACCTCATCACAGACCCAGAGCCAGACCATTCCAACTGAGCCACTCACAAATTTCTGATCTGCAGAAACTAAGAAACAATGAGTGATTGGGTCGTTTTATGTCACTAAGCTTTGGAGTGATTTGTTATGTAACAATCAAAGACTAATACATACTGCATATTAATTTGTTGAAATATTATGTAGTTATCAAAAATAAGATACTGTTTACAACTTTCCCTCTTCACGAATTTACTCTGTTAGTAAAAAAAAATGACCTCAAAGTCCTGGCCGGTGTGTCTTAGTGTTTAGAGCATCCGCCTATGCACAGAAGGGTCTCAGGTTCGATTCCCAGTCAAGGGCATGTACCTGGGTTGCAGATTCCATCCCTGGTCCCATTTGGGGTGCATGTGGGANCATCCCTGGTCCCAGTTGGGGTGCATGTGGGAGGCAGCCAATCAATGTGTCTCTCTCACATGGATGTTTCTCTCTCTCCTTCTCCTCCCTCCCTCCCACTCTCCCTAAAAATTGTAACCAGATAGAAGAATAAAACCATGGGAACCAATATCCTGAAACTGGATAATCCTTGAATAGAAACTTTAAATTCAGCTCTGTTTATAAAACTGGCTCCTGCCTTCCAACAGCTTAAAATGAAACAAAGGGATTAAGATATAGACATAAATAATCAAAAGGCTTAAAGAAAAGCTGGGGCATCCCAAGTAACTACAAAGGAACATCGTGAATGTAAATATACCCCTTGAATGATACAAGGACTGTTGTAAAAATTCCAATTGTGTGAAAACTCCCAGGCCAATATCGCAACACATACCTGTGAAAATAAGCTTTGATTTCATGAAGACACCACCCAAGGTGGATTGCAAAGGAGACAGTGGGCTGTTCCAGTGAAGGGCATGGACTGCAACAAACTATCTGTGTGACCTTGGTCAAGTTACCTAGCCTTAATTCCTCATCTATAAAATGGAGGTGATAGTCATACTGGACCGATAGCAGTGTTATAAGAGAGGAATTGATGGGTTAATACACTTAGATCAGTACCTGGGACATAGCAACTATTCTGACAGCACTAGAATTTTCGTGTGGGGGAAAAATGAACCAAGTTAGTTGCTTATCAATGTACTGCTAGGAATGAAACTTGACACTAAGTTTAATAATTCCCTTTAAGTGATGGATTTTCGTGTGAACGTAATAGTTATATGCGTGTTTCCCATTCAACCATTTACTCTCAGCTTGTAAAAGATTTTTAGATTTTGAATCATGAATCTAGAAAGGATCTGAGACATCAACTGCTGAACCCTTTATGTAGCCAAGACGGTCAAAGTCAGAGTGGGCGTCCAGGCCAAAGTGGTAGGGGTGGGAGCGGGAATGGCTGTGCTCCATAACACACAATGCTAGAACCCAGGAGAGACACTTGAATCTTTGCTCTCTGCTCCTTCCACAAGGTATTGACTGGACTGCAACTGATTATTGACTACTCTTGGCTTTCTAGTCATCTCAAAGGCATTTTCATCTACCAAGAATTTTTAATTCAATCAATACTTATTGTGCTCTCCTATGGTAGGAACTGTGCTAGACGCTAGCTAGGGGTTAGATTGTGAGCATGAGGTCAGACTGCCATACTTCTGAAGATCACACGATAGCAGGGGATGCAGACATTTATCAGCCGATCATAAAAATAGACGCTGATTGCAGGTGTGTAAAAATCTACACAGTCTACACGATCTTGGGGACATATTTAATAGAAGAATTTGGCCCAGTCAGGAAAGGCTTCCCCAAGAGAATGACAATTAAGCCTAAATATGGGCAAGGTTGAGGGAAGGAAAGAATAACCGAGTGCCCCCGACAGATAAATCAGCACAAACCCTGTGGTTGGTGAGAGAGCAGAGGGCCAGGGTGCAGGAGCTGCGGAGGTGAGGGGAACAAATGCACGTAGGAGGGGGTCAGAGAAGTAGTTCAGGGTCAGGGTATGGCAGGCCTTGAATATCACCTTAAAGAATTTAGTTTTTTATTAAAATAAATGGGAAACTATTGGTGGGGATGGCATGGTCAAAATTTTCTTTTCAAAAGATTATCTTACTGTAGAGTGCTGATTGAAAGAGGCCAAGCTGAGGGAGAAATTTAGATGGATTCAGGATATGTAGGCAGTAGAGTCAATAGAACCCTGCTACACAAAGGAACTGGAGGACAGAGGTCATGATGTCACGCCCAGCCTCTGGTTTGCAGAATTGGATGACTGGGGACTAGTGTCATCAACTGGAAATACTGAAAGAGAACTGGAGCTTAGGAGGGAGCAGAAGGAAGAGGGGTAGTAACCCAGGTACCAAATTTGAGGGGAAAAAATTAAAGACTTCACAGCCATTTAGTTTAGGTTTTTTTTCAGTATTTTATTATGGCACACAGGATAGATTATGGTAGTGTTCTCACTTCACGTAATTCTCAAACCAACCAGCTGTTTCCATTTGGCTCAAGTTACTTTTTTACATGTAATTTGCATCTCTCCAAGATTTACCATGTGCAGCATCTCATGTTTAATGAACATAAATGTGAAAAGCTTGGTTTCTGAGGTGACTCCTAGTCTTTACAGAAGCCAATGTACTGAGCATTCTCATAGGTTCAAATCCATAGCATCATGGTAGATAAAGCAATATTTTATTTACGTGGTGAGAGGTATGTAACTAGAAATAGGTAATGTGAAGGGATCAGATAACTTTAAATGGAGACTTTACTTCCAGGTTAAATTCATTACTTTTAAAAGTTGTCTAAGGAACAAATATTAAACAAAATCAGCTGACAAAGCAATTGTGTAAGAACAGAAGCAGAACAGCAGGTAGTCAATCATTTCATCAACATTCCACATCAAGTACAAGTGCAAGAGCTCTCATGACTGTAAGGTGGACAGAGGGGACCAGTGGGGGTGTATCTGATGCAATGCCCAACCAGTTAGAGCTATCGCTGAAATAGTGACTCATAACAATTTCATTATCTGTATCTGTAGTTTCTTAAAGTTTTAAAACGGGTGGCATTCGATGCTATTTACTTGAGGCAACAGAGTTAAGCTAGCAACACACTGAATCATGAGCTCAGGATTGCAGGCAACATGTTTGCAATGACAATATCGAAATAACTTTTGATATTCCTATTCTCTCTGTCCAAAATTATACATTGATAAAAAAAATTATCTTTTTTTTTATTATATCATTTGCTTGGTTTTCAACTTCTGCCCATGATATTTAGACAATATAGTTTAATGTGGCTATACTGCTGGACAGGCAGGACTCATATCTAAATTGCATTTTTTTATTATATAGTATTGTTTAAGTCACCTGTTTACCATAGAGTATACTTATCACATAATTTCAGAATTGCCTCCAAGAAAGTCATTCCCAACATTATATAGTACATTTTATGTGGGCAAAGTAGTTATTTATAAAAGAAAAAGAATCCTAGAGATTCCCATTTTACTCAACTTTATTATCAGTAAAATTTTTGAGGGGAGAGATTTCATGAATGATCATGACCTAACTGTATCCCTCAGAATTACCAATTAAGGGGCAAGAAATACATTGTCATTGTTAAGTTTTTGACTTAAAAAATTGGACGTCAGTAGTCCACTTGTATATGACTTATACTGATGCCTTCTTTAAGGTAGTTTAATTAAGTCAACAACCACAGCAAAAAAAAAAAGTCATTCGGTATAACTTTATTTACTATTTATTGCACATAACTCGAGGTCTTCCATTTCTAACCACCAAAGGTTCAGAGGACTATTTTTTCCCCATGAAGTTTAACATTAACATCAGTGAATTCCTTTATTCATGTGTTTTTATTGTAAACATCTGAACAATTCACATTGCCACAGATCCTGAACTCATAAGCGTGGACCATGCACAGGCCGGCAGCAAGCCAGGAAGCCTCTCTGCAAGCAAACAGGTACTCGGCATAAGGAGCTAAGTCACAGCACAACATTGAATGTCCAACCTGAGTCATCTCAGAATTTTACATATATTGACTTCTTAATTCCTATAGTATCGGGAACTCAACTGCTTGGTTGCTGATGGGGTTGACCTGGTTTCGGGAGGGTTCTTCCTGAAATAATTAAGGAAAGGGGGGGCTCAATCTTTCTTCTTGGTGGCCTGCTCCTCCCCGGCACCTTCATCTTTTTTCTCAGCCTCCGCTTCTTTGGCATCTTCTTCACCTTCACCTTCACCTTCACCTTCTTCACCTTCACCTTCACCCTCCTTTGCGTCCTCATATTCTTCCTTGGCACCTTTAACACAAAAAGCAAGTACAAACTCCAAATCCAGGGTCGGTTCCGTCCCAATACACCCGCTTAGGCTTTGGGGGGAGATCGATCACCAACAGAAGGCTCCCCAATAACCTCTTGGCTCTCCTCTCCCCAAACACGTGCAGCTGAGGGCGCCTCGGCCATTGCTTCTCGGCGCTGGAAGCCCCCTCCAGGACCTCGGGATTTCTTTTTTATTATATGCTTGGTATTTATTTTTGCTCTTTAGGGCACCAGGCCCCTGTGGTCAGTGAATACGTTTCCACACATTTAGTAGGAGTGAGGAGAGTGGAAGGAGGGTGTTTCTAAATGCACGTCTCAAAAAGCCACCAATTGGGGAGAAAAAGGGACACCTGTAATATTTTAAACAAAAATAAAATTCAAAAAAAAAAAAGCCACCAAGCTAAGCAGAGATGTGTCCTTCCGGGTGGACAGCCAGTTTGAGAAATTACTAAAGGACACATGGGTCATTTAACATCCTGGACTCACATCTGAATGGAGCTGCCTTGGTGCAAGCAAGGCCTCAGCCACCAAGCGCCCAGGCAGAGCGCAGGCGAGGCTGCGGGCCTCTGCTTTTCCTCCTACCTTCTTCCTCTTCCGTCCCCTCCTCTTCCTCAGCCTCCTCCTTCTCCTTCTCCTCCTCTTCAGCGTCCCCTTCAGAGGGGGGCTCGTCCTTCGCTTCCTCGGCTTTGGAGGCCTCGAGGGTCTCCTCCACCTCGATCTGCTCCTCCTGCACGTGGCTGGTGTAGTAGGAGGGGAAGGAGCGCGCCGACATCAGGTAGGAGCTGCTCTGCAGCCCCCCGTAGGCGGAGCGGCCAAAGACCTGGGAGCTCTGCGAGTAGCCGCTGGCTATGCTCCCCACGCTGGTGAAGCTGAGGCGGGTCTCCTCGCCTTCCAGGAGCTTCCTAGGGAGGCAGGGGCAGGGGGCGGTTAACAAGCACGAGCCCGGGAAGTGTGCTGAGTGACCGGCTCTGAGCCCGCCACTCACCCCCTTCCCCTGATGCCACCCTCAAAGGCGAGCACAAGCAAGAGCAGGGCTGTGGGGTTATCAAAACCTAATGACCGGAGATGTGGCAGAGACCAGAACAAAAACAGCACCACCAATAAATAGTCCTATTAAATTTAAAATGTAATGGGAGGCTGGAAAACAGGACTCATTCTTACAGGGATGCATTCTTATATACTTGTCTAAGCACGTTCTTGGCAAAAGCGTAAAAGCAAATAGGTACCTCAAAGGGTTATTCTTGAAGGTTTCTAATTCAACAGAAGTGGAATCTGATCTTCCTGAGCCGGAATGACCGCGGCCTTTGTCCCTCAGTGTTCACCTACCTGTAAGCTGCAATCTCAATGTCCAAGGCCATCTTCACGTTGAGGAGGTCTTGGTACTCTTTCAAATACCGTGCCATTTCGCTCTTTGTAGTCCTCAGTTCATTTTCTAATTTGTTGATTGTGTCCTGTTGGAAGACAGAAAAGAAATCCAAGCATATGCTCCTACTGCTATCATTTTACTTGTAGTATAGCTGCAAAGGCCTGAGCTTAATTAAACTTAGAGTGCACACCCTAAGAAAAATCTCCCCCAAATCAACTGCCTTTTCTCTTTTTTAACCTTTCCTTCCTTGCTTAAAAAAAATAAAAAGTAAAAATATATCAGCTTCATGAAACATGAGATGACAAAAAAAATTTTTTAATGATGCAAAAATTATATGAAAAAAATATTTTTGTTTCATTTAATTAAGTCTAATGACCATCATAAAATGCCTTGAAGGAACTAAACTGATTTTTTTAAAAACTGTCTCACATTCATTGGTTAATTTTATCCAGGTCACATGCAACAAATGCATTTCTCTATAGGAGAAGGAAGTAGGTTGACAAAAAATATATATATTTTCTTTAAAATATTTTCTATGTAGCTACATAATTTTTTTCTTCCTTCCCAGAAGATGGAGATCCTCAAAAAAATAAAAGTCTTACTGTGACTACCATTACCTACTACGGTTCTGAGTATTCCTGTCTACCTGCTAAGGTAAAGGAGTGGTTGGTAAAACTAATCAGAAAGCACGCTGGTTGGTCACAGGTAGCCGGCAAAACTAATGAGAGCTCTTCGCTGTGTTCATCCATCAAATGGTTCAATCCACGCTGCAGAGCAACTGGTGGCTAACGCAGGACAATAGAGAGCCAGGCCAGAGGCAACGCCCAGCTGCCACCCCACGCCTTCCCCACCCCACCCAACATCCTGCAGGGCTGGGCAGCTCTAATGCGGAACATGGATTTCATTGCACCAAGCACAACTTCCCAGACTGCAGGCGCGCCTCCAACC